TTTTTGGAGACAGGGTCTTGCTCTGTCACCTAGGCTGAAGTGCAACAGGCGATCTTGGCTCACTGCAACCTCCGCTTTCCAGGTTCAAGTGATTATTCCACCTCAGCCTCCCAAGTAGCTGGGACCGCAGGTGTGCACTATCATGCCTGGCATATTTTTGTATTTTTAGTAGAGACGAGGTTTCACGTTGTTGGCCAGGCTGGTCTTGAACTCCTGGCAGGTGATCTGCCCGTCTCGGCCTCCCAAAGTGCTGGGATTATAGGCATGAGCTATTGTACTTGGCCTACAAACATAATTATTAAGATTAGCAGCATCTTGTCTTCCCATAAGAAGATTGGACTGCACTGCTTGCTGCAAATTATTTCATAAAGTGCATTCTCAATTCACCTGATATTTGAAGTAGCAGTTTATTTTAGCTAATTGCATTTATCTGAAGGAATAATAAAACTCTTATTTCTATGACAAGCATACAATTTCATCCCAGGAAAAGATGCCTAGGTTGAACTCCCACAATGACAAGGAGATAAAGGTTTTATTTTCCTATATGTTTATATTTGAGAGGAATTACTCCCAGACCCTTGAAAAAACATGCAGGGTTATAAAGCTGACAAGGGACTTGTTCATCTTCTAATTGCATTTTTTTCAGGTGGCTTGGCTGGAGGACAAGCAAATTGAGGACACTGGCAATGAAGTGATCAAAATGATAGGTCATGAGGCCTAAAATGAATAGGGAAAAGAAGTGAAGTGGGAGAGGCTGAGCACAAGAAAGAGTGGGTTAGGGGCTGTAAATCTTGAAGATTAGGGTATAATGTGAGTCTATGAGTAAGAGTTGAAAGAATTGTATAAGAGGTAGTAGTGAAAAAGTAGGAGCAGTTTGGAAGAGTAGTTACAAATATCAAGAGCCAGTTGGTTCAGAGGTGGAGGTGTAGATCATTGAAGCTCAAGAAACTAAGTCTCTAGGGCATTGGTTAAGCCAGCTGTCTAGACTTCAAAGTTGTCTAGGATGATAACAATTCAGAAGACTGGTCTGTGCCAAAGTCACAGGTAAGGAAAATGAGCAATGAGGAGGGGAAAAGAGAGGGTATAGGCTAATGGAAGGAGCCTCAGAGAGGCAAGAATTTATATCCTGTTGTGGAAGTGGCATCAGGCATAAAGGAACAAAAACTCTTTTTGTTTATTTGCTTCCTTGTTTGCTATCTGTAGTGTGATATGTTACTTCCCGCAGAAGATTTTTTTTTTTTCCAAGTGAATTATTTTATTTTTCCATTTGCAGATTTTTCACAATCGAAAATAACATAGCAAAATAAACCAAGATGTCTGTGGATCCAATGACCTATGAGGCCCAGTTTTTTGGCTTCACGCCACAAACATGCATGCTTCGGATCTACATTGCATTTCAAGACTACCTATTTGAAGTGATGCAGGCCGTTGAACAGGTTATTCTGAAGAAGCTGGATGGCATCCCAGACTGTGACCTTAGCCCAGTGCATATTCGCAAATGCACGGAGAAGTTTCTTTGCTTCATGAAAGGACGTTTTGATAACCTTTTTAGCAAAATGGAGCAACTGTTTTTGCAGCTGATTTTACGTATTCCCCCAAACATCTTGCTTCCTGAAGATAAATGTAAGGAGACACCTTATAGTGAGGAAGATTTTCAGCATCTCCAGAAAGAAATTGAACAGTTACAGGAGAAGTATAAGACTGAATTATGTACTAAGCAGGCCCTTCTTGCAGAATTAGAAGAGCAAAAAATTGTTCAGGCCAAACTCAAGCAGACATTGACTTTCTTTGATGAGCTTCAAAATGCTGGCAGAGATCATGGGACTAGTGATTTTAGGGAGAGTTTAGTGTCCCTGGTTCACAACTCCAGAAAACTCCAAAACATTAGAGACAATGTGGAAAAGGAATCGAAACGATTGAAAATATCTTAGTTGCCAAATAGTCAAAAGGAGGAGCTTGTCAAAAAGTAGAATCACAAGGAATTTATACCAGTGACTGTTCAAACCAACCATACTTTTTTTAGATTTGCTTTGTCAACTCTTTGTTGTATTCTGTGTCTTCCTCTTTATTGGTCCACTTTCTTGAGGTATGTGTGTACTACTTTGAACTAGGCTAAAGCATCTGTTCCTTGGAGTCTTATAAGTGGGAAGGGATCAAACAAATGAAGCCATGGCCAGTTAAAGATTATTTGCAGAGTTGTATCTTGGTCATAAGTTCTTTGTGACCTTGATTATTTTGACTTATTTTTTGGATGAGACCAGGTGAGAAAGGGATTAAACAGGCGGCTCTTTTATTATTTTTTTATTTTTTTGAGACAGGGTCCCGTTCTGTTACCCAGGTTAGAGGAGAGTGCAGTGGCACAATCTTGGCTCATTGCAATCTCTGTGTCCCAGGTTCAAGTGATCCTCCTGCCTCAGCCTCCCAAGTAGCTAGGACCACAGGTGTGTGCCACCATGCTTTGCTAATTAAAAAAATTTTTTTTGTAGAGATGAGGCTTCACTATATTGCCCAAGCTGAGTGGCTTTTTTACTAACCAGTCATTTCACTGCAGGACAGCCAACACAGAGTACTTGCTTTTGCCCTGTAAAGTTTCTTACATGAGGGAATCAATATATAGCTGAAAGAAGCATGTAGCAAAAAAGACAACCTTGATCTTTAATAAAGAAGAAAGAAGTTGGTTTTGTTTCCAAAATAAATCCTTCCCCTGACAAAAACCCTGGTGATGTTAAACAATGTTCTATCTTAGAGTCCAGCAGAAGACCTTAGATTAAAAAATGCAGAGCCCACTAAAATAGAAAAGGAAGCATATTAGCATACTCAGTAGTGAAATTTCATTTTACTGTTAGGTATTTATGCCAATTTCTTTTCATACTTCATTTGGTTTTGGAATCTGCCTTATACGTAATTAATTATTCACACTGATAAGCATCAAATATTTAATGCCCTCAGTGGGAAATTTTAGCTGTGTCTTGTATTTAAACTCAATGGAATCTAATATTTCTTTATGTAATTAGTCCTTGTAAAATGTTAGGTCACCCAAGGAAATGGGAGAAATAGCAGTGGTTGCTCCTAAGGTAATGCTTGCCCTCCATGTCTTCCTAAAGAACAGGACTTGGAGTTTCTCCTTTATGTAGAGAAGAAGTAACTTAGGGTGTATTTGTAATGAAATATTCATAGATGTAGAAAGCTTATATGTACATGAAATATGTTTATTATCAAGAAGTCCTTTTTCCAGTTCTGTACATTAAATATATGTGTTTTAAAGGGTTTGGTTTTTTTCTGCTGTCTATAATGCCATGGTATATTTTCTTTCCAGTATGACTTTTTACTCAAGTAAAAACACTGTTCTTTTCACATTGGTAGCTTATTCAGAATCTACTGTAGTGGGTTGAACAGTATTCCCTCAAAAGATAGGTCCATGTCCTAATTCCTAGAACATGTGAATATTGACTTATTTGGAAAAGGGGTCTTTGCAGATATAATTAAGGATATGGAGATAAGGAGATCATCCTGAATTACTTGAGTGGATCCTAAATCCAATGAAAAGTGACCTTATAAAATAAAGGCAGAGAGAAATTTGAGACAGAAAAGGAGGGGGTATTACCACCTCAAAGGCAGGTTGGGGCCGGGTGCAGTGGGTCACGCCTGTAATCCCAGCACTTTGGGACGCCTCGGCAGGTGGATCACTTGAGGTCAGGAGTTCACAAGCCTGGCCAGCATGGTGAAACCCTATCTCTACCAAAAATATAAAAAATAAGCCGGGTGTGGTGGCACACACCTATAATTCTAGTTACTCAGGAGGCTGAGGCAGGAGAATTTCTTGAACCTGGGAGGTGGAGGTTACAGTGAGCCTAGATCATGCCAGTGCACTCTAGCCTGGGTGATAGAGCAAGATTTCGTCTCAAAAAACAAAACAAAGTGTTTGGAGTAATGAAGCCCCCACAAGCTGGAAGAGATTCTCCCTTAGAGCCAACAAGATTCTCCCTTAGGTTGTATTTCTGGCTTCTGGAACTGTGAGATAATTTTTTTTTCTTTTTTTTTTTTTTTTTTTTTTTGGCTCTTTTGTTGTCCAGGCTGGAGAGCAATGGTGTGATCTCCACTCACTGCAGCCTTCGCCTTCCATGTTCAAGCAATTCTCCTGCCTCCACCTCCCGAGTAGCTGTGATTACAGGATGTACCACCACACTCGGCTAATTTTTGTATTTTTAGTAGAGGCTGAGTTTCTCCATGTTTGTTGGGCTGGTATTGAACTCCTGACCTCAGGTGTTCCACCTGCCTCGGCCTCCCAAAGTCCTGGGATTACAGGTGTGAGCCACCGTGCCCAACCAAGAGGATGTATTTCTGTTGTTTTAAGTTATCAGTTTGTTACAGCAGTCACAGGAAACTTATTAGCATGTCAGTGAAATCAGAATATTAAGATGTTCATGAGTATATAAGCTCTTTGTTAAGGAAACAGCTGAGACTTTGTCATTATATATGCAGTAATACAGTTTACTAGAATACAGTTAAATATGGTCATGACCTGGATAGAAGGGTGAATCCAGTGTTTGAAGTCAGGGGTCCATTTCATGTTGAGTACATGCTTAATAATTATTGGACATTACTTTTGCTGTTTGTCATGGTAGTGTCTCTGCAGAAATAATATAGTTGGCCCTATTGTCCTCTAATAACTAAATTCTCCCTTCAAAAATTTAGGAATAAATCAGAGTTATATACAGCTGGTTACCCATTCGCTGCTTCCCTGGAATGCAAAGTTGTTTTAACATGTGAAAATGAATCAATAGAATAAATAGAACCATGGTAGAATAAAGGATTAAAAATTGTCCCATCTTCCATCCAGCATCAATCTCACCCAATTTCTCACTCTTCCCCCTGCCCCAATACTAGATCCTGTTTGTAATATCAAACCTTTCCTGGTTTTATTTATTCTCTACTGTCATGCCTATTCACCACTATATAGTGGGTGTAAACGCAAAAAAAAAAAAAAAAAAAAACCTCAACATAGCTGGGTGCGGTGGCTCACGCCTGTAATTCCAGCACTTTGAGGGATTACCTGAGCTCAGAGATTGCCTGAGCTCAGAAGTTCAACACTAGCCTGGGCAACATGGTGAAACCCTGTAAAAATTAGCCAGGTGTGGCGCACGCCTGGAATCCCAGCTACTCAGGAGGCTGAGGCTCGAGAATTGCTTGAACCTGGGAGGCGGAGGTTGCAGTGAGCCGAGATCACGCCACTGCACTCCAGCCTGGACGATAGAGCAAGACTCAGTCTCACAAAACAAAACAAAAAGTCTGGCTTCTGGAACTGTGAGATAATATTTTTTTAGCCTGGCGTGCACCTGTAATCCCAGCTACTCAGGAGGCTGAGGCATGAGAATCGCTTGAACCAGAGGTTAAAATACGAGATGAGGTCCTGCCACTGCACTCTAGCCCTGCAACAGAATGAG